CAAACTTCAGGACTTATTTTTAGAGATTTTTTCAGTTGAATTAAAAGATTCAATGATTAAAAGCTAATTTATAAAGTAATTTACAGAAGAGCTGAATATCAGACTGTATTTTATCAACAATTGTGTAATTCTAGAAAATTTCATTAGTAATAACAATACGGATTAATTGTTTGTTTTGTTTGTTTAAAATTAACTATAAATCTTTACACACTTTATACATGTGTTTATGAATCACTTGTTTTCTGCCGAGATTTATGCATATATTTATAATATTTTGATTATTTTCGGGAACCATAAAGAAATCTATTGATGAGATGTATTGGTTATATTTCACGGTTTCTTATTTCCACGCAATACTGCATAACAGCTGAAACACATTTGCGTGAAAGTCATATGGAAGAGGAGAGGGAGGACTAAACCCCTGGTCTTTTTGTCGCACTTATTGATTGAGAAATGGGACACAAAAAGTGAGATAATTTGTTGTTTCAACTATTTTTAGTCCATTTCACGGAAACCCCTAAACCTAACCCAAAGTGTTTTTGAGAAACATCTCCTTTACTGAACTCGTATTAACAGATTTTTTTGACAAAAATAATATATTTTAATGCAATGACTGTCAAGGTATAAATTATTGAGAATTAATCAGTGGATTATTTATTTATTCAATGAGCGACTCATAACAGCCATCCATAACTCAATAAAACAGTCCGACACTTATATGACAACCGAATTATTCAAAGGGATATATTTTGAGATCAATCGGAAACTCTAACCTAAAAACGAGAGTCAGTTTTGTCTAAAGGATTCAATTCATAGGCACTGAATATAAGCGCATAAATAATAATAATAATGAGACTCTTTGACGACAACTTTCTATTTCGATAACATTATAACAACTCTAATGGCAAACACTTATTGAGCTCTCATTTATTGAGTGCCAAAAAAGCGATAGTCTATTGATATTTGAATAACAAATGAATCGCTAAACGAATGAATGGATGAATGGATTTACTTTTCTCTGAATCAGTTGTCTGATCGGCAATACAGGCCTCATGTAGTTGTCGTTCAAACTCTTTCATCCGTATTTTGGCCAACTTATCCCACCAGCCTTTTGTGAACTTCTGTGAACTCCACCACAACTCACGGATTATATTCTCTCTCATAGTAGTCACTGATGTCTTCACAAATAGCGGAATATTAAATGAATAACAAGAATATCAATGTTTTATATGTCGATCGTTTGATGCATACCTTGATATTGCTTTCATTGGGTCCCTCGAGTGTGACGAAGACATAGGCGCCCAGAAAGCCGTAGAGAACCAGAAATATTAATAACAAGACGTGTGAAAACCATTTCTCACTAAATTGTTTAAAACTTTCGATAACTTACTGTTTAAACCTGAAACAAAGCCTCGAGTTACTCTGCTATACGTACCCTAACTCTTGGGTATGGAAAAGCCAGGGTTTCAGGGATAACTCGGTTTAGACAAGGGAGCTTTTCGGTCACGGCCCGCAAGTTGTGGACAAGTAAGACAGTCTCGACGACGACGGCATTTCACACGATCTACTTTTAAAGGCAACTCAAATACACTTCATATTTACAGTCGTTATAAAACTACAATCACTTTTATGATCACTGAATCGGCCATTAAATTAATTATTTACATAAAAGAATTAAATTATATAAATATATTTTTATATATTGTAACAACTCTTATGCATAACTCTAATAATTAGAGACACAGAGTGTGTATAAGTTGTGTAGAAAATACTTTGTGAGACGAGAGTATAGTTTTTGGCAAAAGTTTGGCACAGAATCCAAAAGTTTTTCTCTGAGTCTCACAACTATTTCCTCTTTCACTCATCATTTGTGAGTCGAAACAGTGAAGCACTGAATAAAAATATGTTAAATACGGGACAAATGTGATGATTATGTGGAGTTAACTTAGTTTCTCGAGTTAAGAGTCACTTCACTAAACCATTCCTTACTCGCTTTCTCTCATCATCTGCTCTCTCTCTCTCTCTCTCTCTCTCATAGTAGTCACTGATGTCTTCACAAATAGCGGAATATTAAATGAATAACAAGAATATCAATGTTTTATATGTCGATCGTTTGATGCATACCTTGATATTGCTTTCAT